CCGCGACTCTTCCACGTTGCCTTGTTCAGCAAGGTGTTGTTGTCTGCGTGGTAGACATGAGGGCACAGGATGACGAAGAAGCGGCACTTGCCCACGTAGCTTGGAATACCTGAGGCCCGGCATTTTTTCGATCACCAAAGTCTGAACTCTTTAACAGAAGTCACGTTGTGAAGGTTCTTAAATTAACATAAGATTTGAGCCTGTTCTGCCCAGGACCAAGCATAGACATGCATGCGCAGCCTCCTTACACCCTCAAACCTCCTACGTATGATGTATGATGAGATGTAGTGAGCATGCTTGCAAACAAAACGCTCTCGGCTGCGTTTTCAATATGCCACTCGCTTCAGGATGTGAACGAGTCGTAAGCCTCAAGCCTTCATTCATGCCTACATGTGAGTCTGACATTGCATAAGCCTTAACCCACAATAAATTTTGCCGTTTTTCTTTCGATGGGACCTTAGTCTCGAAAAGGACTCTCCAATTATGCTCATGCCCACACTACAAAGGCAAACGACTTAACCTCACCAATCAACAATGACAACCTACTTCTGATGACCTCCACCATCTGGCATCCCAAGAAAAGGCCCCAGCTCTTTGCCAAACGGTTTGCACATGCATAATAATAATGTCTACATGCACAAACATCTCCGTCTCTACTGCATCCTAAATCCCTAAACCCTATGTAACCCCATTATAGTACGTTCCATTTTCATTTCCATTATCCCTACATAATCCCAATACATACCCTATAATCCCTGCAATCCTGCAACCCTTTACCAAGGGCTTGTAGCCGCCAAGCTGGCAAGGTGCTACTGATGGCCAACCCGCGGGATGCTTTGTCCTCAGCTGCGCAAGGCTTTTTTAGGGTTTAGGGTACCTTGACCCCCCAAAGCAGGCAGAAGTAAACAAGTCTTTGAGGTTGTTTGAAGGGACAGAAGTTCAATTTAATGACGCTCGATGCCCTTGAAAGTTTAAGTTTTCATTCTAAGGAGGAGATTGGAATCCCTTGGAAACCCTCATATCAATCCCTGGGGGGGGGATCCCTGGGGTAAGCGCTGTGTCGTTTGCTGCTTACGTCAGGTTTTGGTAAGCACGGCAGGAGAAACACAAAATTGTTGCCACCTTCTTTGAGCCGTCAGCTACGAAATTTCAGCAAGCCAAGCATTGAAAGATGGGACCAGTGAGTAGTGGTGGTGGCGATGGCCCTTGCAGTGGTTGTAGTTGCGGTGCTGCTGGCGGCGAAAAAGTAATGGTGTTGAGAGAAGAACACACGCTGGGGGATCTGCAGCAGTTACCCAGAAGGGCATTGTGATGCTGGTGGTGGGGGTGGTGAAAGTAAGGAACAACTCCCTTCCCGACCAATACTCAGTAGTTGAGCTCGATAACGCATGCAGAAAGAAAAATCAAACGAACTCTGATAGGTTCCTGGATGATGAATGCCAACAACAGTCAGGCCAACTTCTCATAGCTATTGATGCCTTTAAGCTGGCACCAGCATCAGCATCCCACTGCCTGGTCTGTATGCTAAAGATTCTGAAGCTCAAAGGGCTTGAGACACCGCTTGTTTCGCAAAGGGACACGCAGCAGAAATATAGGAATTGTGCGCCGCAGTCCAGCATACATACAGTTGCACAAAATTTCCAGATTTCAGCGTAAGAACATCAGCACAAACTTGGCACACCACACAATAGTTTCGCTTCTACTGCATCCCTGCTAGAATACATACAAGCTTGCCCTGTTCTGACTCGCCCATCCTGTCTTCTGCTCCTGCCTTGCAAATGCATCCCTGCAAATGCATCGCATTTGAACATGCCAGCAGCTATCAAGAATGTAAAAGCAAGACCTCCCTGTCCCAACCCCAGACATGTCGCAAATCTTTACACCCTTTGACTTCAACTACGCCAGGCACCATGCACGCACAACCAGCAGAAGCCCTGAGCAGTGTCCACCCCAAAGCAAATCTGATCCTATCTACTCGAGGTCGCCCAGTGACACATACCAGACCGTTGCCCAACGCCCGTGTAAAAACTGGCTTAAAAGCGCTTAAAAGAACCGATGCCCATTCGACGCGTCAAGTCCCTAGTTAAATTTGGACGTGACATGCCAAAACAAATTCAGATTTGCTTGGGGGGCAGCCTCCTCCGAAAAGGGTCCACCAGAAGCAAGGAGCTGCAGCAGCAGTCAGCAATGGTAACAGCCATCATGAGTCATCGTCATCATCATTATCATCATCATCACCATTATCATCATCGAGCCGTAGTAGTCGTCGTGCCAGTGGTAGTAGTCGTCGTCGTCACCGTTGTCGTCGTAATTCTGATCATAATTGTTGTTATTCTTGTTGTTGCTGCTGCTGTTGTTGCTGTTGCCGCTGCAGCAGCAGCGATGTTATTAGCAAGCAGAGTAATTGCAGTAGTAGTAGAAGACAAGAGCGTAGTAGAAGTGGACGTGGATATAGCAGTAGGAGCAGAACGATAAGGAGCGGATGAGCAGCAGCATTAATTACCACATCAACAACTATCACAATGATAATGATCATGCCCAAGTGTCTTGCTGTGGCACGGAGAAGTAGTCGTACCAAATATACCTGGGTTGCTATTAAGGAAATCAACTTAAGTTACTACATTGGGGACACCGTATCGATTACTATATATACCCATTCTGGTAGCCCTAAACCCTAAACCCGATGTTCCCTATAATTCTACCCTAGCTTCTCATTATGGTAACTTATTTTAAGTTCCTTAGCCGCAACCCAGAGACATCTTCTTCGAAAGCTCTTTCGTCCGCACTGGCGGCTGACCTTGGGCACAGGAGTCTGCCACGAAGTAGCCATAATGTATTGGGGTTATTTAGGGATAATGGAAAAGCAAAGGAAACTATAGGGCTTATAGGGATTATGTAAAGGTTCTATAGGGTATATATTCGGATTATAAGCTTGCTGTTAAGGGAACTTGTTTTTAACTTACTATTGGAAGGAAACGCCTTGGTTACTATATACCCATCTTATTGGAACTTAATGCAAATTAAATTCCTTAACAGCAACCCAGTTTAGGCATGAGCATGGGGGATCTCGAAAGAGGTCCGGGGCCTACTGCGGGGCCTGCTGTTTGGATGCACAATGAGGTTTAGGGTTTAGGGGGATCAGAGAAACAATATCCAAGCCCAAGGCCCTTGCTTGCCACTATCTCAGTAATAGACGCGGCCACACATCCACAACAGAGCCGGATCATTGAGAAGGCAGCCACCAACGCTTCCCTGTATGCCCAATATCCATGTGCTTTTTTGTTTCTGATGTCTCGCAAGTGCCTCTTGTTACAGATGCCATCTATTTGTTTGCGCCATCCCACAATGGGGGCCCATCTTTGACTTTTTTTGGTTATTTCAAACAGGTGGGACCCTAAGTTTTCTATAACGGGAAGTTAAGCATGAAGAAGCCACACCCCAAATTGCCACTCGTACTGAGAGCCCAGGACTCCCAGCAACTCCAAAACGTGTACCAACTCAAGAGGCCGGGTCGCTGGTGTATAACTCTAACCCAATGGTGGCAGACACCAATGGTATGTGCGTCATGTGCCTCAAGGCATCCTGCAAAACTTTGAACTGCTCGAAGGTTGGGTCGGGATGCTGGAGGCCAGCCCACTGGTGTGATACAAAAAGCGCGTTGCCCTGGCTTTCCTGGCTTGCTGTTAAGGAACTTAAGTGAAATCACAAGCATAAGATATATACTGATATACTGTATATTCATGTCATGGAAACCTAAATCCTAAACCCTAAACTCTCTCTCTATCCCGAATTATGGCAACTAATTTTAAGCTCCTTAACAGCAACCCAGTTTCGTCATACTCCTTGACAATTCTGTCCAAAAGCAGCGTCTCGTGAGGCTTCACATCACTCATGCTTAGTAAAGCCTCTGCTGCGACCACATACCTGCGATACTGTTGACTTACTGGTTCTTAGTAGAGAATAAGGGGATATGGTAGTTTCGGAAAACAAGGGGACCCCAATATAGACCCCAGAATACTATAGCCCTTATGAATGGGACCCCTAAAAAGTACCCGAAATTCTGCAAGTACCATATATGATATAGGGATTATATTCCCTACTTCCCGGCTAAGAACCAAACATGAGCTAAGGATGACAATCTTCCTTCTTCGCTCTATATTGGGTAACCCCCCCCCCCAGTAACAGTCTATATTAGGGGTCCTATTAAGGGCTATATTTAACCATATTATTCTTATCATCCAACTGTTACTGAGTGGGGGGGCAGTACTCTCTATACAAAGTTGAATTGTACACAGCAACTGGCAGTCTTGTTCAGCAGCAGCTTAGACCCTAAACCCTGGACCCTAAACTCTAAACCATAAATCCTAAACCCTAAACCCTAGACCCTAAATCCTAAACCCTAGTACTAGACCCGGAGATACATGGGGAAGAGCGCCGCGCCGTAGGGATCCGAGGCTTCCTTGGGCGCAGCCTCACGTAAATGCGCTGCATGACGGGCCAGTGGCGTCAAGCTCTGAGCTTGGCAAAAGGGCCATGATATTGAAGTCAGCATGGCGGACAAATACCCTAAAAATCTATATTCAAAAGCGGGCCTTGAATGCAGTTGTGCAGCGGCATCTTCAAGACTCTCTGCAGGTGTTGGGGGGTGGGGAGGGGTGTGGGCGAGGGTAGGGCTAGATGACCTGGCTTTTGTCCGCACAGGTCTGTCCGATCACCGGTTACTAGGGAACTGGCTTTGGGATGGTCAAAATTCCTTGGCAAAAGGTGAAGTGCATGAAGTTCTGGAACCTAGCGTCAAGGCATCCTGATGTACAATGACGCATGCCAAGGGTGAGCTTCAAGTAGGCTACCCGGGCCTAGAGCGTAATTCTTCGGTACTGCTGTCTGGCTCTACCTTGGCGATGTTCCCTTACTCACAATCTCGAAAGCACACGAGCCACGATCTTTTTCCAGGCATGAGCAATCAATGTACTCAAGATGCATTTGCATCGAGTCGGGAATCAATCCGACTCGGTCGCGGCGCATGCGGTCCCCTCCCTGGCGTCGCCCTCTTCAACACACCCGGACCACCTTGGTACAGTATGGGACCAGGATGGAACAAATGAAATGAAAGTCGGCTTCCGTGTTTGGCTGCTCAGGCCCAAGACCAAGACACGTGATCTGTGCTTCGCTTGCCCTCGGTTGGTCTAAGACACGCGGTAGTCAGACGAACCTTCCACTGGATTAGACGGACCGCGAAAGGGTAAGACGACACGAGAAAGGGTTAGACGAAGCTTCTGCACAATTATCTGGTCCCTCGCCAAGTTACCCCATCGTCTGTAGTTACAAGCTCACAAAAACCTGAACACCTTCAACCTCAAGAAAAGTAAAAGGCTTTTCAGCTCATGGATGCGATCTAATCCCCTATCTGAAAAAATTGAGGAGAGAGCATTTCAGAAAACTTTTGATTGCGAAGCCAAGTTAGACATAGTTGCCGGATTGGGAACAGTAGGATCCTGAGCACGGGCATGTGTCCACCTAATCTTGCTGAGCGTATCCTTGATAATTGCCTTTCCTGCGCCTAGTCGATGCTGATGCCCTAAACTCTAAGCCCGAACCCAAAAATCTAAGGGGCCCTACGGCGTACCCCAATAAGGGGCATTCCCTACACAAGGACAACATGGCATCTTTCACTTCGGTAGCTGCCAGGTGCATTCCCAACAGTATCAGAGTAGGACTATGCTGTTGAAGCTGATAACCTTACTGGTGGCACTATGGATTAAGGGAACATCATCTCAACATAACCCCTATATCACATTTTCCCTGTGTCCCTACAAGAACCAGTAAGCCAGATTGTGGTACTTCAATTCAACTGCTGACTAACCCCAATCTTGAGGACAACTCTAGACTCCTTCTACTTCTGTATCATTCTGTACTCCCTATAGCATCCATCCCCATGACATCACTTGTAATTACAACGACCCACCCAGCTCTATGTCCTACCCTGTCCTACACGTAAATCCTAAGCCCTGATACCCAATACACTCTAAATCTCGAAGAAGCTCTCAGCCCCAAACCCTCATGAACCCCTGGATGGGTATCTGAGCGACTTCAAGACCCAGACGGCCACGGACATTATCAAGCTGACTATGCTGCAGCACCTGAGCTTGAGTTTAGGGCATTGGGCTTAAGGGACTTTACGGCTTGAGGGCTTGTGGCTTTGAAGGTTTTAGGTTGCTTTGACTTTCGATGCCCGCAGCTGCACTCATGCTGATGTTTGCCAAGATGGGAAGCGAAACACAGACTCGACAAAGACATGAACATATTGCAGCCAACATTGCGTCAGGATCTGGGCGCTTGCTTTCCAAACTCTCTACTCCTCATTCCTCGGCCACCCAAGCTCTAAAGCCCCGTTTGGTGTCCAAATTGTAGGTGGGGGCACCCCACTCCATCCCAGCCGAGTTGGGGGATGTGCCTGTGGCTACAACCACTACGACTTCTACGATTCTACGGCGACTTCGGTGTCTTGACCACTACCCGGCAAGCCACATCAGAACGCGGGCAAACCCATCGTGACGGGTTCCATACCTGAGCGTCAAGCCGAGCTGTTGTCAAAGCTCTCTTGGACTTTAAGTAGCGCATGCCTCAATAATTACCATATCCTTTTCAGGTCTACTTGAGGCAGCCTATACCATCCATCCGACATCACCTTGGTAATTATTTTGGCCCTACATCATGTTGAACAAAGCGTTCACGTCGTATGCTGACGCATGGCTGAGTATAGCTTCATCATGAGCATGCTGCTAAACCCACGCAGTAGTTGCATGCGGCACGGCGGCACAAGCGCAGTTGGGAATGCTCCCAAAACAGGTCAAACACAAATTCTGGCCGTGAAATACAGGTACCACGGGTAGTTTGTGGTCTTTTCCTGTGCCATTCCCCATTTGACTGACGAGAACCGCTACCGGACTCCTGCACACCCAGTGGGCAGAGGTGGGAAAGCTTGGAAGGTTAAACTAGGGACCCATGCTATCATGGTATTACTAGAGCAGTATTTTAGAAGTGTTCTACTAATCTTATGGTATAATTATGGCATCGAAAAAGCTTGCCTGACACGAACTAAGAGCCTGGGAGCGGTTGCTACAATCTCGACAGCACATTGCAGAATAGAACTTTAATAGCGGTGTCAATATCAGGTCTCATACCTGAATCATTCAAAATCCGTTCAAGGCGTTGCAACAGCAGCCCTTTTAACTTAAAGCTGTGAACATCCCTCAGCTCCGTTATGCCCCTCATCACCAAAGTCCTGAAGATTGATCACTTGAAACTAACAGCAGTCCGAGTGCTCACCGTACTCCGTGAGGACCAGCGACTTGTAGCCTGCTTTCAGAATTGGGTTCCAGATTTTCAAGGGGCTTATATAACCCTATATATCCCTTTAAAGGGACCTAGGGTTTCCATTTTCTTTCCCATTATCCCTATTTAACCCCTATTCAGGTCAGAGTGATTCCCTTTTTCAAGTGCGTCCTTTTCAACCTCCCACACCGGGTTCTAAGGTTCACTAAGGTCCTGCAACTCTCCTTAATGGAGGATCTGACAGCGGAAAGGTCGAGGAAGGATCATCTCCACGCATACGCCACCCGCCCCTGGCCCTCAAAGCCCGTGAACTCTACAACCTAAACCCTAAACCCTTGGGTCAAAAACTGGGGGGGGGAATGGGGAGTATCCCAGAATAGGGGTCTCCGGGGACACGTCATTTTTGGAAAATCCCTCATGGATTCCAGGTCACCGGCACACAGTGACGAGCCGTGTGATGAGCGCAGGCATGCGGCAAGTTCTTGGCAACACGAATCGGGAGCTCCACAAATCCGTGAGCCGGTTGAATCTAAATCTGAAACGCTCCAAGCTACCAGTACTTACTCGTGAGGAGTGGGCCCTTGCAGTCCTTGCTGTATATAGTCTCCAGTAATGTGATAGCTCCAATCCTTGCTTCCCTACTAACAACCAGCAAGGGAAAGTTTGTGATAGCTGAGAGCGCTGTAAGCAGGAGGAGAATTCTTTATCCGGTCCCGGGCCATACTCAAAATTTCTAATAGTGTATGAAGGCGAAACAACCACAGGGTGTTGGAGTATGTTTCATCCTAATTATTCTAGAAGTCTTGTAAGGGGATACTATTCCTGTCTTTCTTCAAATTTCTACAAGAACTTATGGAGGCGAAAGGCTCTGTGAGTACTGACTGAGGAAGCTTCGCGAAGGTGAAGGCCCATCATTCCTCACCTGGCACCGCGACTTCAAAGCTAAACCTTGCATACCGCGCCCCACCCTATAGGGTCTAGGGTTTAGCGGTTAGGTCTAGGTTTAGGGCATAAGTACTATAGAAGGCCTTGTATTATGAAAGGAGAAGATTTCTAGAAAGTGCAAGAACCGGGCGCTGCTATATGGGAGGTTCCATAAATTGGGGGTGCCAAAGTCGACACCAATATACTATAACCAAAAAAGACCCTAATCTTTGCAAATCATAAGCCTGCAGATCCCCATGACCCTACAACCCCAAAATCCCCTTTAAAGGGGCCCCCATGCTTGGGGAGAGCAGCTTTCTAAACCCTGAGCCCAACTGAAACCGCAAAGCCTCACCACCCTGCCTCCCGGGATACTGTCGACAGGCCATCGCGAATCGATGACAAAGGTGATGTTCTGAAAGAACCAAGGGTTCAGGATTTGGGGTTTAGGGGTTTGGAGTTTACGGTCTAGGTTGCAGTTGAGGAGCTGAAACTATGTTACCATAATACAAATGAATAGTGCAGAAAGTTTCCGTGAGACCTATTATGTCTAGAGAAAAGATTATAATAGATTATAGCACTCCTGCTGATGGTACTTTACTTTGAGCTCCTTTACAGCACCCCAGGAAAGAGGGCAAGCGTTGGACTGGGACGGATGTAGGGGCCCGCATGGAGACTGCATTCCCCTTTTCCTACAATTCTTGTGGGTTGAAACATTTCTCACAAGTTCTCTCAATCCGATACCTCTTACTATGCTAGGTCGCCTACAGGTTTTCATATCCCTGCTCCTCCCGAATCCCAGCGCTTGGACCCGAAACCTTCACCCATCCTCTTCTCATCCGGCACAGGAATTTCGGCCCTTGCAGCTCCATTTCTGAAGGTCTCTAGGACTCTAGGAATCTAGGCTGGAAGACTTTCTTGGATTGATCGATCTTTAGCTTCGGCACGTCATAACCGCTTGTTGGGGCGAGGGCCGACGAAAGGAGGCTCTCGTCATAAATGATACCTGCTGGTATGAACTTCAAGATTTATCAATGGCCCAGACAAAATGCGCGGCCCACATGCCTTGACAAGAGAAAATGGGCCCGCAAATCATTAAGGCCCTAAAGCCTACAAGTCCTGTCCAGTACAACAGACGAATGCCCATAGCAAGTCTTCATACGAGTGCTTGTCAAAACTCAGGTGTACGCTAGGGTTCCCAAAACAAAGCAGGGCCCCCGAGAAAGCTGCACATGTCCAAGCCTGGGAGGACCCCTGGATACATAGGGATCCCTTTTAAGTGAAAATAGCTGTTGTACATGGGTTATCTGGAGTATATAGGGTTTAGGGGTACACCCTATAACGGAGAGTCAACTGGAAAATGAAATGGAGACTGGGGTCTATGCGGAGTAGAGTCTCCCAAAATTAGGGGTACTTTTTGGATACATGATAAAGATTAGGGTGTACATCGGGGTTCGCCTTTTTTGGGAAACTACACGATTGCTTGTGTAGACCCAGAAAAACGGAACGCCACGGCAGCACTAAGCATCCTGCAAGTGCCCAGAGTGCTAAAAACCCACGTGGCTTGAACGCCTGAATCAGAAGCCCTCGATTTTGGGAGGATGTGCTGCAACAGACAAGTCAACAATCACCAACGCATACTATTCTGAAGGCCCGAAACCCGAAACCCCGACACACGCATGTAGAAGTTTTGAGAAACAAGCAGTATAATCCCCCAGCAACTTCACATTGTATACTTGTTGCCCCTACATCACAATCTCTAGAAGACCCAGAAAGTCCCAGTTGCCATTTCTCCATCTCTAAACAATGTGCATCCCTATGCAACCCTAGACAACCCTTTGTAACCCCTAAACCCTGAACTCCTATAACCCCCTTGAAGGGACCCCACAAAATTACCCCAGATCCCTGTAACCCCTTTAAATGGACACCAACAAATTAAGCCTAAACTAAAATCCCTAAACCCTCTGTAAACCCTATATAACCCCTACATTTCTTCTAGAGGAACCCTAAACCCCCCAAAACGCCCAAAGGCTGTAAAAGGAGCCGAGGTTCCTGGCCCTTCTGCAAGTCCTCGTGGATGAAACCCACTTTGTTCCATACCTCGGGGTTTGGGGTTTAGGGGTTTAGGGTCTTAGGGGTTTAGGGTTTAGGGATTTTAGGGTCTAGGGTTTGGGGTTGATGGGTTTAGGGGGTTTAGGGGTATGGGGTTTTTGGCAGTAGCACCTGGCCACATTCTGGCAGCCCGAACCGAACAATGGCTTGTCTTAATTCGCATCAGGGAGAGCTTCGTGGCAGCTTTGCAATAAATGGCTACTTTGTCTCATTTACTCCAGAAAGTATTTACACCAACATGCTAAAAGTGACTCCGAAATGTTGCCCAGACTCGTAGACTCTAACGGCCTGTACTTTCAACATACCCCAGTAATCCATATGGTGGCACCAACTCCCATTCCTGCTTGACCAGGCTGCACGAGGAAGTGCGGACGGTCTCATCCAGCTAACAAAGTCTTCGTCTTTGACGTTCTTTGCCTGTGCTTGTATATGTCTGCTTGGAGTGTCAGGGGGCCTGAGTAAGTAGCTTAAAAGCGGGAATCACTGGGGCCATATAAGGCTTCAAGGGATTTGAGCTATACTTTCTAAGTCGCCTTAATCCTTCAAGTACTCTGCCATTTAGGTGCCGTTTGGGGCTGCCGTGGAGATGGTATGAGGATTCGTGGCAATTTGAAATCGCTGTGTTCTGCCTGGCTCAGCCCCGTGATGGTTGGGAACTCTTTTGGGCAGTTAAATTCTTACATGCAAACGCTTGATTCTAAGTCAATCCCAATTGGGACCTGGGCCCCTTAGGGTCGATTATCGATTTGAGGATCGTGAGGGGAATCTTGAGAGACAGCTGCTATGCTGCCTCTCATCCTGCTGCTGGAGAAGACTAAATCCACCCATCCCTGCAGCCGCAGGAGTTATCTGAATCAAAAGTAGCAACAAAACGACTTTATAGTTTGTTGGGGATTATTTAGGGATAGTGGAAAAGAAAATAGAAACTACTATATAGGATACTGGGGTTAACAGAGGCAGCAGCGGAGGCTCAGTCTGCTAAGGATGAGTAATTGCATCAACATACTGGTAGGAGTATAGCCGCGGCCTCAGCAGCATGAGTAAGACAAATTCATGGTTCAAGGGCTGGCCTGGGCCGTCAGGACCGAAATAGTATGGGGCATTTTGGGGGTTCCCCAAAAAGTGGGCTACCATTTTGGGGGCCCAGTATTAGGGATAAGGAACTTAATGCTTTGGTCTCAATGCTGGGTCCCCTATTTACGGAAACTAATTACCATTTACCTGCATACACTAGTTGAACTTCTCATTAAATGGTTTTTACCTTTACTTACGTAGATAGCAACGCTTAACCTTCCTTCGGGCCAGGTTCTGGGTCAATGACACCATTGAACGTCTGGAAGAGCCACTGGATCTTGCTGTTGAAGCGTTCCGCCTGCGTTCCGTCATGGCTTGTCTGTCTCCCTAAGGGTCCAAGGACCCAAATCATCGGGTTTTAGGGCCCAAATACTATGACATAAATGGTATTTGGGCCCTGACTCCCTACTATTTGGGTCCTTGGACCCTTACTTGTAGGGTCTACTACAACGCACCTGCAGAGAGCTGGTCCGAAACGGGAGTCGGAGCTGAACGTTAGAAAGCAGTGGGGCACTTGATGTCGGCATTATATATATATATATATGAGATTCTATTCCCTTATTCAATCCCTACTATAACCCCAAACATGTACCCTATTATGATGTAGTAGTTTCCATTTCCTTGTCAGTTATCCTTATACTACCCCTATATTCTCTACTAACAACCAGTACCTAAGGCCAAAGAATAATAATGCGGGGGTCATCACGCTCATGCGAGAAGCCAGAGCCATGGATCCACGTCCAAGACACTTGCAGAGAGCCCAATACCCCTCAATTAAGGAAGATACACAGGAATCTGGGATGCTGTAGGGACTATACATGGGTTATAGGAGGTTCCATAGGGATCATCTGAGGAATCTACCCTAAGTGGTACTAGGGTCCCTAATATGGTTTAAGCTATATGCCTGAATTAAGGGGTATCGGGCTCCCTTGCGAACGGGTCGAAAGCCTATCGGATTTCGACAGAGGAAAACGAATCACAGTACTAAACATGGTTTTCGTTAATGCCACGGAGGATTATAGTCCTCCTTAAGTAGATAGAATATGGGGTATATGGGGATCTTTTATGATGTCCATAATATACCAGAATATACTATAATGTACGATATTTAATATACTATAATGTATCCCAATATTACCCCATTACCCAAAGCCATATTCTATCCACTTAAGGGGGACTATACGCTAGGCATCTTCTGCTCAGACAGGTTAAGCTTCCATCTGGCTCTGCAGGCATGCGCAGTTACATATTATTGCTATTCTTACCATAAATTACTATTCATTTCTATTGATGACTAGTTCTTACTCGTTAAAACTACTCATTACGATCTATTGCTAGTTATCATTATCTATTACTATCTATCACATCTATTACTATTATTGTTTTATGTCTGCGCCTTGGCGGGTGACCAGGGCATGTCGTTGAACCTAAGTGGCAGCAAGAAGCGTCCGCAAGTTCACTAAAGCGGGGTTGAGTCCTCATCCCCGAACCATGTGTCCAGACAGAGCAACTCCAAGATATCTTCGCCGAGTTGGTGCCAAAAAGAAAGCACAACTGCGTCTTGATCCACCAATGACGGCCCTGTTGATGGAATTTCTCCGCAGAATCGGGGTGTCCCTTATAAAGACCCATAGTAACCCCTTTATGACCTATAGTCTAAACTGTTAGTATCCCCGTTCATAACCCCTATAATACTCCCCTATATACCACCCTGTAAGGAGTTTAGACTATAGCTCATAATATCATCCTTGTATACTTTCCCATATGGTTCTAGGGCAATCTCATTTTGCATAGCCATCCTATAGAGCCTCGATCCTTTCGCTAAGCAACCCAGGGTTGCTGTAGCGGTCAACATCCGTCCTCCAGGCAATGCCCTTCTTGTCGATTGTGTAGTCTTTGACCTTCACGTCAGTGGGTCCCTTCTCCCTGATACCTCAACCCCTCCCCCCCCCCC